TACATGCTCCAGCTTTTGTGAATCTTGCTAACCTTGCTTCTTCCCCCAGGCTCTGCCACATGGCTTCATCTGCATTCCTTGAACATGCCACGATTGCTGCGCCCTTTGTCTGAACTCATCTTAGCACTCTTCTTTACCTAGCTGATTTCTGTTCATCCTTCAGGTTTCAGCTTAAATGTCACCTGCTCAGAGAACTCGCGAGTCAGTCTTCTTTAGAACACCTCCCACTCCCTGCACCGGCTCCCCTGTCTACTCTCTATTATTGCACATGAACTTCTTGTGTAGCATTTATTGCTGCAGATAATGGTCTTGTTTTTTAATGTGCTGACTGCTTGTCTCTTCAACCTGACAGTGAGCTCCAGGAGGGAGCCTGTCTGAATTAAAGAATAAACAAACAAAAATTGAGGGGAGAAAAACTACTAAAATCAAGTTTCCGAATATAACACAACATATAAAATCTTGGCCATTTTTTTACACTTTTCTCTTCACAGGATTGACTAGCACTGTCTATGAATTGCAAGCCTGCTGCCTAAATATTAATTTCAATATTCAACATTTTGACTCCTCTCTCTTCATTGTATTAGTCACCAGGGCCTGTTGATTCTTGCATCTAATTATTTCAACATCTTTCAACACCAACTCCAAACATCCCAGTCAATACCCTCATCCCCCTTCCATGGGTCACTGAAATAGCCTCCTAATTGTTCTCTCAGCTGTCAGCCTCCATATATCCTCTTGCTGACAGATGCATCTTCTGATGTCACTTTTAACCTGTCACTTCACTTTCCAAAAGATATCCATGTTGTATCTCACAGCAGGTCTAGAATTCTCAAAAATGAAATTATATTCAACTGTATTCTTGCCATCTGAATCAGTCAATAATATTTCCGACTACTCCTTTAAACAATTCCTCTGATCTACTCAAATACTTTATTTTCTATCCTCAAAATAAATCAAGTTCATTCCTCTCTTTGTATTTTTGCTTAGCCACGTCACAGACTCGAAGGCTTTTTCCCGTCCATGATTCTAAACCAAAACATTTTCCTCAAAGCATAGTTCCAACCCAACTTCTCTAATTAAGACTTTCCTCCCAGTTCCAGCCCACGAGTTTTTTCCTTTTTCTCAGCTCTTACAGCACTTAAACCATTGCTCCATATAACACGTGATTTATGCAACACTCATTTCTGTTATTCTTCAGTTATTTCCTATGCATAAATTTTACCTCCCAAACTGGATTGCAAGCAAGAACTGTGTCCCTTACACTCCCGGCAGTGGCAGAAGTAGCACTGATCCAAGAGCTACTTACATTGACTTACTGATTTACATTGTCCTCAGGATGAATCCTTCAACTGCCAACAATGATTCTAGATAACTTGCAGTTCCCAAACAGAACATACCATCTCTTACCCCTACTCTTTCCCACCTGAACTCCCAATGCCTACAATAGTTCACTGACCACATTTATTCACCTGGAAAATTCCTAATTCTCTCTCCAGTCTCAACCAGGACAACATTTACTAAGGAAAGGGAAGTATTCCTTGCCTCTTCCTTACCCACCCACCTACCCCAATAGCTACATAAAATGTCACTCCTATAAATTCTCATTAAATGCTCTTAAGCCATAGCACTTGACACACTATATTTTAAATGACTATTTGTCCACTGGCCTCCCTGACTGGTCTGTTTGCAAGTTTGGCTCAAGTAATTTATCCTTTATCTTTACAGTAGTAGAGTGATAGTATTTTATTATTTGTTGAATAAATAAGTGAACAAACAAACAAAAAAGCTGGTAATGAAATCTGCTGAAAGAGCTAAGAATTTAGTATAATAGGTATCAATTTAGTGTTACATAATTTCCAATCAGCCACAGTTCATACCACTTAGAATGCTTATTTGTTTTTAATTCCAAAAATAATTAAGCACCCACTATGTGTCAGGCATCGGGGATACGGAAAAGACTCAAACACATAAAGATCCCTAACCTCAAAGAATTTGCATCTTACTAGGTGAGGCAGGCCATGGAGTATGGTTTTTGCTCTGACTGAGTTGGAAACCATAGAAGAGTTCTGAGCAGAAGGTGTCTTCCTGAAAGGATGCTGACATTGAGGTGATGCTGGCTTGGACCAAAATGGTGGTGGTTGGAATGGTGAGCAGTAGTTAAATTATGGATCTACTTTAAAGGAAGAGACACAGAATTGACTGATGGACTAGAAGTGAAGTATGAGAGAAAGAGAATAGTCAAGAATGGATTTTAGTCTGTGCAACTGTGGAACGGAATTTGTGAAGAGTTTGGAAGGGTATACTTTTGGAAACAGTATGTAGATATACGAAGAGATTCTCTAAAAGCAGGCCTTAAATTTTAATATTCAACTTTGTATAATTGAACTTCCCTTGGGCATATTTCCAATGAATAGTAAAGGGCCCTTTGTCTTCTTAGACAAATTGATAACACTGAACAGAAAAATCCTGGACAACTGCAGCCAACACAACTCCACGAAGCACTGCCTGTACCAGGCACCCTATAAAAGTCACTGCAATGCATTCTCCAAAATTGTCTCAAGTTCTATTTTTAAATGACTAATGCAATGCAGCTAGTGCTAGAGGTTACAATTTCTGTGATTGCTAAAAACCACTTCAAAGCTCACACAATTATTATCATTAGCAATATTAATAATTATACTTTGAATTGTGTTCAGTGATGATTTAGACGTCAAGTGGACACTTATGAAAGAGGCCAAAATTTTTACCCTGCCCTAGACTATAATCTAGTTCAAGGTCAGAGGAGTTGGCCTTGACCTGGGAGTAAAAGACCATGGAGTAAATGTGGGTAACCTAGAATGACTTAATCCACCTACAACTAAAGCTTGAGATAGAACAGTAGGAGATTTGGGCTGTCAGTCAGCTACCTAAATAACCTAAATAATCAGCTACTGTGCTTAATGGCTATAATTTGGGGTAAGGCTGGTAATAATGGTTTATTTTTTTTCATGTGTTGAAATATACCTCTGCAAAACTTACTGAATTTGGGATTCAAAAATATGAGACTGTTTATAAACATACGATGCAACAGTAAGTCTGTATAATAACTAAGTCTCTTGCAGAATAATTTAGTGGTGGTCACGATGAGTTATAACTTGGACTTTTGAGTTTTCATTGGGCAGAAACTAACCATTCTCACTCAGTCTGTGAGCTTTTTTTTCCTTCCAGACTCTAAGTAGTTTACACAATAAACAGTTATTTCCATAGTAGAAATGGCCAAGATGTCTAAGCTCCAACGTTAACCTGTTATTATGGTTAGAAATCAAGGTTACCATTCTTCCAGATTTTCACAGCCACACAACTTTTGACCTAGCTGATGGAAATGTAAGAGTAAACACGGTTCCCTGACCTCTTAACAAAGGCAAAAATCAACTTGCTCAGGTATTTGTTTCACTGGCAAGTGATCCAGCACCAAGAGGCATTGTAATCAGTGGAGTCATATAATGACAGGACACTACAAATTCCTCTCAAAGGAAAATTTTAAGCAAGAGTTCATCCATAAATTGTCCGTGTTCTCTTATTTAGGACTTTGATGTAAAGTACTGATTTAAAATCCTTACACACTTCATAATTTATCAATGACATCAAAGAACAAAATTAAAACTTTTGGAATCTTAATTCACACGCCATAATCAGAGATCAGGCCCATGAGAAGAAATCTCATCACAAACATATGCGGAATGGAAGAATTCCCTTTTGCACTCCACCACATATTTTCTCCCACCTGAAATTCCTTCATAACTGTAATGAGTCAATTTCCTTCCCTATCTTGAAAATTATGCTGTAAACCCATCTCTACAGCAAGACAGCAGTAACCCGTCCCATCCCCACAGCACGGCAAGCATGGTTCGACTGTGCGGTCTGCATTTATATGCTCTGGATATTTCTTGAGCACTGAATGACTAACTAACAAAAGAGAAGTCATCTACATGTACCCAACTGCTGCCTAGAAAGTGCTCAACGTATGTACGGTCAAGGCCAAAAAAGAGACCACATTACACTATGTAACCCCTTTTTTAACATTATAACGGACAACAAGATTAAAAGGCAAAACAGCAAAGGCTTAAACTTTAATTCTTTTTGTAATCCTCATATTTCAGTGTTAATTTTTTATACATTTGTGCTATTGGAAAAACATAATGTATAAAAGAAGTCCTGAAGTAATCATAATAGACAAGCATATAAGAACAAGAACAATCTGTTGTAATGTAGACTTAAAATTTACAAATTGAAAAAGGTGATATCAAATAAGAACTTCATGAAAAGAATGTCAAAATTGTACTCAAATCCTTTCTTTCTACACCAAAGAATCAAAGATGCAGAAAAATTTAAAACCACTTGCCCCGAAAAAATCATCACTCAAGCTGTATCATTTTTTTCCCATTTTTTTATCATTATTTTTTTATTGTGGTAACATAGTATAAATTTCAGGTGTACATCCTTATACTTCTATTTCTGCATAGATTACATCATGTTCACCACCCAAATACTAATTACAAACCATCACCACACACATGTACCTAATCATCCCTGTTGCCCTCCTCCCTCCCCCCTTCCCCTCTGGTAACCACCAATCCAATCTCTGTCTCTATGTGTTTGTTTGTTGTTGTTTTTATCTTCTACCTATGAGTGAGATCATATGGTATTTGACCTTCTCCCTCTGACTTATTTCACTTAGCATAATACTCTCAATGTCCATCCATGTTGTCACAAATGTCAAGCACAGCTCTTGAGTTTCATACGTATTTTAAACTTCACTCAGTATTCTGAAACAATAACGAACTCATTTCCACCATTCCTTTGTTCAAATCTTTAAACCCTGTTTTCAAAATCAATTTACTGAAATCTGGTTGTCTACCTTAAGTAGACCATTTTGACCAACAGTAAAAAGTAAATTCAAACAAATGAATTTCAGCTCACAAACTATAGCAAAATAAAAAACAAAATAAGTTGTCTCCTACCTATGGTTGTAATAACAGTGCCAGCAAAGAAGAAGGAACTTCCCAAATCCCAGTGACTGATTTGATTGGAGGTGTTTCCTAAAGGGATAATCCCTGCATTTATTGCTGCCACTATTTGCTGCAAGTTTAAAAAGAAATTCATCAGTACACAGGAATTACACGGAGGCATCAAACAGCACATATTCCACCCCAGATGACTAATTAGACAAAGAGAATTAATTCTAAGCTTTGCTTTTCCATTTAAAGTGTACAATATAGGTTAAAACTTTATACTAAAAATTTAATAACAGTTAAATTATAATAAAATTATTTGATATCAAGTGAATGGATCTGCAGGAAGCTTATTATATTTTACCAATATGCATTTATATTGTCACCATTAACATATTTAATGACGTATTTGAATTAACAACTAAATATAGCAATGTTCTTTAGTAAGTACCACCGAGTTAAAAGATCAGATTGCAAACTACAATTCAAATAATATAGAATAGCTTCATCAAAAACACAAGTAATTCCAAAGCGCTAATCATTTCAAATGTTAAACTTATGCATCTAAGCCTGGGGTGTAACTGTAGAGAGTATATATCAAGGTCCAACAAAACAGGCTAAGATGAGATGGAAAAGGCAATTCACTACCAAGCTTAAGTCAGTCCATTTATATCTAGATTCTTAGAATCTCTACAGATTTTTATAAATTCTATGACAAAGACCTGTAGATGACAATCAGTCAACAATATTCACATAAGGACACTAGGATCTGGATGCTACCATGAGTAGTACTGGGAGACAGGCAGAAAGATGACAGTATAATCCCTTCTTCAATCTTCAGATGTTGGAGAGGTGACGGGGAGATGCAGAAGCACAAAACATAGAAGAGAATATGTCAGGAGAAAATGTGCAGCAAAAGAGAGACACACAGATTGTAGGAAAAGATGTTTCTGTTGGAAATCAAGTTTTAGAAATCTTGATCACTTAATTCCCAGATTTGAAAACTGGAAGGAACTTCATCTGATAGGCAAGAAAATTAAAGACCAAGAGAGGTAAAGCGACTTGCTTAAGGTTATACAGTTTACTAGCAAATGGACACAAACTACACCGTGAAAATGAAGGCACTACCCAAGGATGTTACCATCAGACGGAAAAGAGCAGGTAACCCAGAGCTGAAATGCAATATCAAAACTCATTCATCTGATTTGCTTTAATCTATAAATTAAAACTTCAATAATTGTGTGTAAAGTTAATTGAATTGTAATGCTTTTATTTACTTTAACAATGATATATGCTCATTGTAAAAAAAATTAGGAAAATACAGAAAGGCATAAAGAGGATAATAAAAATTATTCGTAATTTCAGAATCCGGAGATAATTACCGTTTACTGTCGTAAAGTATCTACTCCTGGTATTTTGCTATACTTTTTATACAGTCGGATTTATGAAATATATGAAATGTATTCTCTATTTTTACTTAATATTATTTTACATGCAGTTTTTCCTTGTCCTTAGCATATTTACTTAATCATTGCCCCATATGTAGACATGCATGCTGGTCTAAAGTCTGTCTAATTATAAAAAGTGCTGCTGTGAACATATTTGTGTATAAATATTTTTCCATTTCTGAATATTTCTTGGGAGAGATTGCTAGAAATAAATTTGCCACATTAAAGATTATGAATATTTTAAAGCCCTTGATGTATAGTAGCAAGTAGCTATCCAAGAAATTTGTTACAATTTACAACTGTCACCAACAATTTACCCATGTTGAGCAATACTATTACTTTTCATATTAATATTTTATCTTTACTGAGATGATAAGAATTGTTTACATTTATATATCCTTGATTGTGAGTGAAGCTGAACACGTATGCTTCCTTTATCATATACTAAATGCGCACAAATACATATACATACACATACACACACAGCACACAGTGGAGCTAGTTTTGAGATAACTGATTCTCTTTATGTGACTCTCTATTGTAACTTTAATATCAGATAAGGCAGATCTCCCTGATTATCCTTCTCTTAAAAATGTTTTTTGCAGTTACTAATCTATTATTCTTGCATAAACTTTAGAATCGTTTAGTTAAATTTTATAGAAATTTTCATTTCCACAGGTTTAACATATTTCCATTGTCCAGACACATGGTAAACCTATAGATTAATTAAGGAAAATGAACACATTATAATAGTGAAACTTCCCATCACAGAGCATGCTATGAATCTCCATTTAGTGAGTCCCCTTTAATATCTTGAAATAGAGCATTTTTATATACTTCACATGGGTCTGTAAGCTTATTCTTTTGTATTTTATTTTTTTCCATTTTAAATTATAACTGGCTATTGCTATGGTATACACAAATATATATTGCCTATTCTCTGCACCAGCAATTCTCAAATTTTTTATCTCCAAACCACTTTACAGTCTCAAAAATTATTGAAGACATCAAGGAGGTTTTGTATATGTGAATTACAGCTATTGATATTTACTATATTTGTTTAAATTTCTAATTTTCAAAATGTTTGGATTAATTCATGTAAAAATAAGCCCATTATATGTTAACATAAGTAACCTACTTTTATGAAAATTAATTATGTTTTCCAAAGCAAACAAACATTTAGTGAGAAGAGAGGCATTGTTTTACAATTTTACAAATCTCTTACATGTCTGGCTTAATAGAAAACAGTTAGATTCTAATATATGTTTCTGCATTCAATTTGTCAGGAGAGCACATCACACAGCCTCTGGAAAACTCCATTGTATACTCATAAGGCAGAGTGGAAAAGGCACAAACACCTTAGTATTACTAAGAAAATAGCTTTGACCTCATCAAACCTCTGAGAGAGTCTGAGGATCGCATCTTAAGAACCACTGCTCTATAGGGAACTCTTACTATTACTTTTGTTTTGCTTTATTTTGTTTTCTATCTGAAAAATCAAAGTAAGCAAGCTGACAGCTTACAAATAATGCCATTGTGTCTCTGCATCTTTCAATAGCCATGTTTTATTACTTTTCATCTCTTATTAGGTTGGCCGGTATTTCCAGAGCAATGTTAAATAAAAATAATGGGAGCAGACGTCTTTGTTTTTTGTTACATAAACTCGTCGATGGTTTTAGTGTTTTGTCATTAAATATATTGACTGTTGGCAAGAAAATGGTATTTTATTAAATAACTGTGAGAGCAAGCAAATAAAAAGGACAGATAGATAAAACTTAAAAAACTAAAAATGTCTTGGGAAAATATTTTAAGACAGCAATAAACACACCAGGGATGTACACACAAATGTAAGCACAGGCTCAGTGATCTCTAGCTTTATAACTCTAGGGAAAAACTAACTCTCAGTAAAAATCAAAGAGGGGGGGATTGAGACAGATTATAATTGCATCCAAAGTATGTTTTATATTTTACAGACATTTCTTCAAAGCATTCATTTATTCAAAAAATATTTATCAACTGTTTATGGTGCTAGACAATGGGAAGGCAACAGAGAAGTAAAAACATGAGATAAGGCACATCTTTAGACTCCAACCTATTAAGTAAAATTGATTATTTTATTGACTAGAAGCAAGCTAATTGACTTAATATAGCCTTAATGGCTAGCACTATCACTTTTGCCTATTCATTCACTTGTCAATGATGAGGTACAATGTTACCCAGACACTTGGATAAAATCCACAAATTATTTAAATGCAAAAAAGCAAATACAGACTTATAATCAGAAACAGTAATGTCTGACAATGTGTGGGTTGTAAACAGTTATCACAGAGCTGTGATTATTGCAACAGAGGCTTTAGATGGAACTACGAGCATGTCAAATCACTAAGAGAATGAGTCTACCATGAATTCCTTTCTCTGGAATATTCCTGTAAATGTATTTTATATCTTTGTACAAGGTCTTTTGGTCAACATCCACAGGAAATTGGATGCCCTTGGCAAGCGCACTGACATAGATCTGAGAGTCTCTGCAATTTCAACATCAACTCAGGCCATCAGAGCACTTAACAAATGCCTTCCTGAGAACTGTTTCTGTATGTGCCATACTATGTGACTATGTCACTGACTAAAGTAACATAATCACTTCATTAATAATAAAAATTCACTTTTCCATTGAAGACAACTTTTGTGGATAATCAAATCATGTTGAAAACTTATGAAAAAGTTGAATTGTTTAAGTTAGGGTAAAGAGAATGTGACATCCTATGCATTTAATTCTAATATATGATTAGCTGAAGTATTGGTTAAGGAAGGGCTTCCAAACTTAAAATCTAAGAAAGAGACAGTATAAGATAATCTTGATTGGATTCACACTCAATTTTGCCTTTCAGTTTATAGATAAACATAGAACATACGTTAGGCAAAGAAAGTTGAATACATGGTTCTAGTCAAGAGTATGGGCTTAAACTTAAGAAATAGAGCTCTAAGACGCTCAACTCATAGACAGGACAAGGCTAATTACCCATAAATGTAATCATGAAAAATCTTAGTTTCCATGACAATGATGTCTTCATAATCAAAGTTCACAGAGTTCTCCTGTGAATTTGTGCATTCTTGAATTGTAAGAAATTGATGTCTCAATGTCATCTGGCATTTTGGAACTATATTCAGCTTTAACACCAAACATTGATAAGACACACTTATTTGTAATTCTATGAGACTAGAACAGCCTTAGAATTCAACTGACAATCATGAAAATGTTCCTGTGAGTTCAATCCTCAGGAACGACTTTTTCATGTGTTATAAAGTACTTGACTAGCTATTTTTTCATTGAAGGAAAAGATACTGGAAATTAACCCTGGGGAGGCCTGAAGAATATATTGTTTTCAGAGGAGGTTATATTGTGGATCTTAAAATACAAGTGACACCAGAAGTTCTGAATTCCCTTTTTTTTTCCTTTACTCAGATGCTCAGATGCTCACGTTCATCAAAATAATACAGAATGTTCTGAATGCTTCCACAAATTCCTTTTCTGTTAATATCATAATCAGGATTTCATTAAAATATGCTATCATACCTATAATCCTAAAAGTAGAGTCACATTAATAATTTGAATTTTTAAGCAATATAAAAATTCTGAACTGCAGGTACAAGGCATTAGCAACTAACTGGGTTACATCAA